AGAGAGAGAGAGAGAGAGAGCGAGCGAGAGAGAGCGAGAGAGAGAGAGAGAGAGAGAGAGAGAGGGGGGGGGTAGTTTAGTTTGGCAATCGATTTATTAGGGGATTTTTTGTAAACTCGGGTCAGAGAGAGAGAGGGGAAGGGGGGGGGACCCACCCGGGTGCCCCTGAAATGTGATGTGTCAACCCCCAGGGGAGGGCCCTAGGGGCCCTAGCTGAGGGCACTGCTGCTGTTGAGACCACCGATAGGAAGCCTGGCAGACAACTAGAACACCTGAAAAGACCCCCGCACCCTGCCGTCTCTGGCGCTGCAGCTGCTTGTTTGTCTACGGCCCGATTCTTGATCTGAATGCAACCCGAAGTGCTGGGCTTGCTAGTACAACGATTTACTTACCGCCAAACGGCTGTTGTATCCGAATGCCCTCGTACAGGTTGATAAATCCAAGCCGCTGGTGGTAAATCCAAATGCAAGACGACACAATCACACGCGTGTCGAATCAACCACAGACACTCTCACTAACTCACTTTCTTTCATACACACTCACACACACACACACACACACCCTCCTGTATCGCACGTCGCGGCACTGTCACGTCGCGGGGAGCGCGGGCGTTCTCAGGCGTCGCGGAGTGGCCTCGTGCGGCGAGGTAGCGGCTGCGACTGCGGCTGTCCGGGCCATGCCCTCCCTCCAGCCCCCCAGCCCGCCGCTCGCCGCGCCCGGCAGCGCGCGCAGTGGGGGAAGCCTGTGGCGAGGAGCGGGGGTGCTCGAATATGCGGCGTACCAGGAGCAACTTAAACCCCACATTGAGATCACTACCGACTGGCTTATTAATGTAATTTTGTCTCGATTACGCTATCGAACTTTTAAGGGAGTCCATTCAATGCAGTCAGTCCGTCGGAAACGAATTACATCAAAGCAACAGAAAGGAGCAAAAAAGAGAACACCTTTAACAATATTCTTGTGAACGCCGTAACGAACCTATGGTTAGGAAATTAGAGTTGCCTTTACTTTGCATATCGGAAGTTCATGATCGGTTGTTGAGTTGTACCAGATGTAATAGACCGTTGTAAGTTAAAGCCTACTCCATCCACCTGTAGCCCCCACCCCCTCCCTTCGCGCCGCACAACAGAATGCCAACCCGCTACACTGCAGTGTTCACTCTAATTACCTGTGGGCACCTGGACACAAACAATGTTGTCGGCACCAACACATGTGGATGCATTAATATGTGCACCACAATATGGTCGTCCCCGCCAAACTTCTCGATTGGGTGACCGGCATGCACGGCGCAGCCTTTTCGTGTCGCATTAGTCAAGAATTTTGGCTGGGATGAACAAAGGAACAAAGTTGCACACGATGAGCTTAAACTCTAAATCCAGGCCAATAGGGTGTTCCAGGCTATCTAAAACGGAAGTGAAAAAGAACAAATTACCTTATTTATCTGTTTCCTTCCACCCAGTATGAGAAACTACCATGGTAGTTTGGTCCGATCCTTACCTCTCAAATATGGAGGGGAGCTCCAAACTGATTTGACAGTTTCTCATACCTGAAAGGCCGCGAAGGCACGTGATTCGTTCGATTAATCATTGCCATTACGGAAACAGAAAGGTCAGTGAGTTTGTTCTTATCTACTTCCGTTTTAGATTGTCTGGAACACCCTATTGTAATCGTCCCAGCCGAACTTTTCGGCAAAGGCTATGCGAAAAGGCTGCGCCGTAACGGTCGCCCAATCGAGAAGTTTGGCTGGGACGACTATAGGTTAGGTCGCGCCCTAAAATCATGGTGTTGATATATTTGAAAGCTGTGTCTCAGCTTGAGGCGCGGCTCTCAATCAAGTAGCAACAGCTTAGTAGCGTCCCAGGTGTAAGTGGTCCTCCGGCCTCTGCACGAGCGCGCGCATGCGGTGCTGAGCGTTTCCTCGATCACCATTCAGTCCGTCCTCGTCCCGGCCGTGTCCCGCTGCACCTCGCACCTCTCGGCGCCGGTCAGTGGGCGCGCAGGCCTGTAGCCCCGCGTGCGTCCTCCTGGCCCAACGGCGACGTTGGAGGCGGCAGCAGCGGCGGAGAGGACTCTCTCTCTCTCTCTCTCTCTCTCTCTCTCTCTCTCTCTCTCTCTCTCTCTCTCTCTCTCAACGCAAAGCCAAGCTGGGTCGAGCCGCGCCGGCCAGCCAGCTCACTAGAAACACACTGACCGACTTTCCTTGCCGGAGCCGAGCCGAGCCGAGCCAAGCCGACTGCATGACGGGCTGAAGTCGGGTGGCGGCAGGAGGCTTCGGAAGGAGGAGGGGGGGGGGGGGGGAGCCTCAGCTTGTGAGGGTGGTCGACGTGTGTGAGATTGGTGCGGAGTGCGGTTCCCTGACCCTCTGGTATGCACTTGACTACTTCCGTCATCTATGTTTAAGTACCAGGTGGCTTTGATTAACCCCGCGCACTTGTTTAGTTTGCCTATCGCCCCTGGTCACGATGGCGTTCGGACCCAGCGCGTAGGCAACACACTCGCGCTCAGGAAAGCGGTACAGTACTACTACAGAAAATGCGCGGGGCCAGTCAGCCACCTGGCATATGCAGGTTAAGGTAAGCATTTTGGCCGAATTGGAACACAAATCCGAAGAAAAAGACGGCAGATATTCCTCCCCTCATGATTTTACGGATTTTCAGAACAGCGGGGAGGGGCAGCCGCGACAGGCTACCAACCCTCCACCCTCCACCGTCCACCTTGGGTTCCTAGATAGGGGAGCTCAGACACACGCACTGTGCACGGCACATACCAGGATGCCGCCCTGAACAGCGACCAGGACCAACCTGGCCGGGTGTCGGGTCTCCGGAGTCAGACGGATGACCGGCGAGTAGGTTACTGACCCATAGCCGCCCGGGTGGTTGGCGAGGGCCGGGGGCACACTCCCACCAAGCCTTGCGGATCTTGCGAAGTCCGGTTGCACATCTCCCCAGGAGGGCCCGGCACAGGCGGGCGGGGCGCCCCAGTCCGTCGCCATGCCGTCGCACGTCATTTTTGGCCCTGGCGCCGGCGCGGCACTCCGGGCACTCCCTGCATTCCCTCCCCACCCGGTGAAGCGCAGCGCGAGGGGCCGGGAGGGTCCGGACCGCAGCACTGGGGCTGATGGCGGGGACCACCTCGACCAAGACCAAGGGGCACTCTGAGAGCGAATAATGAATGTTACTATGAATTTTCAAATTACACCTTTCTTGTGATCCACCGGCTTTCTTAAGGCCAAATTTTTAGTTTGTACTTATTCTTGTACTATTGACTTGGCATACGAGGGATGCAAAGTTGCAAAATGCCAGCTTCCCTGCAAGATCTAGGCGATCCGTCCCCACCGGTTCCCGAAGATTTGGTCTGCCTAGGTCACTACATACGGCCATTTTAGTCAATTTTGGTAGCACAAAAATTCGAAAAGTAGCTTATTAGAGCGACTGAAAATTTTAGAATAGTTGTAATTTTGATGAGTATATTGTCATACTCCATACTCCATTTCAAAGTGTGAGAGCTCAGAAGACTGCTCGCGCATGTCCGCCCACAGCGGCCAGTACCATTCTACCATTCAACTGGACCTCGAACTGGACGAATGTCCGATCTACGAGAACACTTTGGAGTCTATAGACGTGCCTGCGGCGGCGTGGAGTGATGCGGAAGTGTTCAAAAGTAGGAATTATTGTGTGTTTTTGACCAAAAGTCATCAGGACGTCCACGTGTGACGCGTTGACAAAACGACTGTATACTTAATCGATCTAGTTGACTACTGTCCCTGAGCGAGCACGGCCCTGCCTGTCACTCGTGTGCCCAGCTAACGTGACGCGCTGGCGCTATAAAGGGCATAGGCGTGGAGACGCACGCCGCAGTCCAGTCGACACCGTCACCGTCGACATCAGCTCCGCCAACAACAACCATGCCCAGCACCACCACCGTCCTGGTCGCGGCCGCGCTCCTCGGCCTGGCCCTGGTGGGTGAGCCAGCCCCACTCTTGGTGTCAAGTGTGACTGGGTACTGATGGTGTGACGGTATGTTCCAGTCCGCCCCAATGTCGTCAGAGGAATCTGAAGAATCAGTTTTGCCACCAGAGGAGATTAAGATGAACCACGATGCCTGTGTGAAAGAGCTGGGCCTCACAGAGGGTAAGTAGAAATATTGAGCCGCCTTTCATAAGAAACATTTTTCTTGTTGCACTTTGTTGCTGGAAAGTAGATAAGATAAAACTCTTGTTATACACTACTGTGTTTCAAAAGTGACAGAAATACGGTGGGAAAGTCACTATCTTCAAAATATTGGATTGACTTTTCTCAGCAAACGTTTGGTAGAACCCTGAATAACTTAATAACGTAGCAAAATGTGCAGTATGGTGAAACTCTTGAAAAAGGAAAGGTTAGGCGATGCCTTGTAAAGGCTATCAACCAGGGCAGGCAAAAAGAATTAAATCTTATTTCGAAATTAGCTCTTGGGAGAGCAAAATGTTTCGCCCGGACGAAATATTCTATGGCAATAATTTTACCCAAGGCCAATTTCTGCAGCAAAAACCTTTTTTTATCTCCGAGGGCAGAATTTAATGATTGGTCTTAATAAAACCCCAAAATAAGTCCCCACAAGCCCGAGATTAGAGAGACTACCTGAGATGCGTCCGATGATACTCGCTCGAGTTCCAGAGCTCGGACTTTGGACAGGAGACAAGGCCCGGATGGGTTGCGAGGATTTTCGTGGTCCAGGACTGAAATGCCTGAAAATTTCAAACACAACTCCTCCGTGATGTTAAAGCCTCATAATTTAATTTAATTTAGTATTTTATCCCCGAATTAATATTTGATTTTTTTGACCTAAGGGCAAAATTATTTTGATTTATCCGTTAAAAGTGCCCGGATTTTGCCCCGTAGATTTAATTTTGCCCAGTAGTAAAGTCCCCATCTTAATTCGTCCCGGTTAGATTTTGCCCTCATGAAGTGGAAAATTATCGAGCAAATATACATAATTCAATTTAGTTTATTTCGCTAGCCCTGAGCCCTGCTTTTAACACTGAAAAAACAGAGGCTAGGACTTAGTGCCTTTTAAAGGTGCTAAACTTTAAGGCCTTTAAGAAAGTCACGAAAGTGTCAAAAGGCACTAAAAGGCAGCACCTTTGTGGCATTTTTAGTGCCTTTCGAGGAGTGCAATTTTTTTATGCCACTGTAAAGGCAAGAAAGTCACCCAAAGAAAGGGTGTTGATTCCTACCTTTGTTTTTCCAAGGAAGTTTTAATGCCTTCGAAAAGGCACAATAATGTCCAAAAGTATAAAAATTTAGTATGTTTGGGCAGTTTTAGTGCCTTTCAAGCGGTGTAAATTTGTGCCTATGTTTTTCAGCGAAATGACGCAAAATAGGGTGTGGCGACGTGTTCGCATACTAACTCAAACCGAGTCGTACGCCTTTCTCTGGACGAATTCCCCTCTTTCTTATTATGCTCGTAAAATTAAAAATCACTAACGAAATTTCTTTTTTCATGCGCTTAACCAAACGATGAACAGCCGACAGGAAAGATCCTAAGACTAAAGACAAGGTAAAACATATTGTGTCTCCTAAGATAGTTGATTGTTGAATTCAACCAGATACATTTAAGTAGCGAGTAAATATGATGACTTTTGCTTACAGATCCTCGCCTGCATGTTCAAAAAGGATGGCACTGTTAGTATTGAGCGCGAATAGTCGTACTACACACTCTTTTTCCCCTAGATGTACTATACACATTCTATATTTTCTCGCCCCGCTAGATGACGGATGACGGCCAGTTCTCAGTCGAAGGAACAATCGCAAATGCAGTTAAAGTGCTGAAGGCGAGCCCAGAAAAGCTTGCTCTTATTAAAGAGATGGCTGCGGAATGTAAAAAGACACGTAAGTAGGCGAGGGCAAGCGAGTTATGATGCATTTCTCAAACTCATATTAGCTTAACCGCGCAAATAATTTAGTGAGATCTGCGAATGAAGACTCGGCGACCTACTTCCACTATTTGCACTGCAAATCCTGGAGTGAGATTTCTGACCTAAAAAGAGTGAGAGTTTTTTTCCTTGCTCAATTAAGGTGATGATTCAGAAACCTCGCTCTTATTGAGAATGATTCTTAAATCTCGCTCAAATCAAGAGAGATTAACTTTAGAAATCCTCACTCAAAAAAGCGATGTTTTCCAATTATCACCCAAATAGAGCGACATTTCTTAATCTATTGCTCTAATCGAGCGAGAAAATCAAACTTCGCCCTCCAGAGGGCGAGAAAACTTGGTGCAAATTCTCGCCCTCCAGAGGGCGAGAATCCTCGCTCTAGGATTTCTAGTGTGTTGTGGAGTACCATTTACGCTCTAAATGTTTACATGAACTAATGTCTATACTCTCATTTCTAGTTGCTGACGTTAAGGCTCCCGAAGACGTGTTGGCCGGGAGGATTCAGCGCTGCTTCCACGAATATGTAAGTAGGCGGTCAAAACTGAAAACAAGTGCGCATAATTTACACACCAACGTGTGCAAGTTGTTATTTTGCACATTTCATGGTTTTAAATCAAGTTGCACACTTGCGTGCTGTGTGAATTTTAAACGTTTAAATTCTGAACACTTGGACACACACAGCTCTATGCTATCAAGAGGAACCATACGGCGTTTACCTGCTATACTTTTCAGATGTGTCGAAAGTTTTAACACCAATACAACATAGATAGACAACAAAATGTGTCTAGAAAGTGCACACTTGCACTTCAACATCAATTTGACGTGCAAAATTACACAAATGTTTTACCAGTGTGGGATCTGAGACTTCAAGGCAAAAAGTAGTCTACAACAAGTTCATGGTTTTAACGTCAAAACAAGTTTCATATTTTTAAAGATTGAAACGAAAAATTATGTCCTAAACCGCTGCACTGTGAAAAATATTTGTGGATTAAATAGTTAAATTTTCGATAAGTAAGGTCGCAAAATAACGATTTGAAATTCTAAAACTACAGAATTATTCTGACATCATGTATTGATTCGGTGTTCTTCGCAAAGCAATTCTTAGCTGTCATCAAACTGTGAAAAAGTTTTATTGAATTTTCAGTACTTTTAGTCTTAAGGTTTTTTTTACAGACCAGGCAGTCTGAAAATTCAGACTGCTCAGAGGTCTGAATTCTCAGCGGTGTCTTTTCATACCCCTGAGTGTGAAAATTCACATTTATCAGCATACTGATATACATTATTACAAAATAAAATGTAAATTAACAACGCACTTTTCACAGTATCCCCTGCTCTGTAAAATGTAGAACTTTCTGGCAATACAAAGTGTAAAACTGTTGTTTTACTGTGATACACGTAGATTTGTACTTTTCCTATATTCGCAGGGATTTTTTTTTATGACAAACTCTTTCTGCTTCTAGGCAAAGGCGCACAAGTCGGCTGTGACCAAGACTCCGGCTTAAAAGCGCCCGACTACAGACGCGTGGCACTTGAAGAAGATCGGTACATTCGTATGTCTTACAAATCAATAATGCGTCAATAAAAGAGTGCTTTTAATTGGAAACCTTTGCTCGTGACATTTCCTGCAACTCCACACCCACACACGTGCGCGCCCCCCTAGGCGACGATGTAGGCGCCGGTAGGTAGGCAGCCTAGCCTGCTGCTTAGTAGGGAGGGCGGCCCGCCCGCGGCGCCGTGGTGCGGCCGGCTGACACAATAATCCGAACAGGCACTCAGCAGTGGCTCCTGTGATGATCTCAAGTCTATGACGATGTAGCATTGCTTGGACCATTGCCCTCTTCTAGCGACAGCCGCATCTATAATGATACAATGATGTAATCGGTAATGATTTAATCGCACAATTTAATCAACCGTTCAAAATTTCTTGTCAGGGTATTTTTTAGTTTGTTTAGTTTGATTTTCGTAGGTGACTTCACTAGGACTTACCGCGCGCCCCTCCTTCACCAAGCAGTTGTAGATGATCACTGCCGCCTCCACGTCCGACTTGTCAGCCATTGATAGAGTGTTGACTTAAGAAAAATAATAACAGAAATATTCTAATTTAGAAAACCTTGCAAGAGACGCAATAAATATGACCAGGCCACAGGAATCTTAGCGCAACTTTAAGCCTTCAAGCAGGGGGGGGGGGGTCCCTTCCCTTGTGTCAGTAGGGCAACGACACACCAGTGTTGCGGGTGGGGTTGCCTATTTTTTGTCAAAATGTGATTATTTCACAGATAATTTTCACGAAATGCGTTGATGAATACGGGAAAGTGGCATCTCGCTAAACTCGGTTTTTCGCGTAGATCACGATTTTGACTGACTGCACTTTTTATCTACGTATAATAATTTGAAGTCTACGCCCGATTTTTAGTTTTCAGTAGAATTGCCCATAAGAAAGTGATGTTAAAGTTGGACCTCGATTCGGCCGGGTCAAATAATGTTCCATTTTCATTGAAAATATCATGGTGTATCTATACACCAAACTGCACCCTCTGGCCAACATGTCCACACAAAAATCAAAAACGCGTTGGCCCTGGGGGCCATGGCGCCTTTATGCTTAAGAGGGAGTATGCAAACCCGCACACTGTTGTGCCGTACCCCGACCCGACATACGGTCGAACACGGTACAGCCGGGTGGCCGCTGTGCCCCGTTCAAATACGCATGCCACGCCGCACGCAGATGTGCGGTCGTGCGGACGGCTTGCCTTTATTCGCTCGGGTCTATGGTGTCATATGGTTAGAGACACTAGGAGAAACCCGCACCCGTGCATGCAGGCCAGAATAAACATTAGCTCGAAGCATTTGCTACAACGGGGCACAGCGGCCACCTTGCATGTCCAGAACTTTTACCACATGGAACTGGAGGAACTAAATAGTCTAGTTTGGCGCTGATGGTACCTGAGCCGTCACACTTGTCCGCCAACTTCTTCATTAGAGCGACGTTGTCATTCTTGGGATCCCCTGGCGTGAGCGCGCGAAGAAACGTAACTGCCCTGTCCTTTTGGAACATCTTCTCACGCATCTGAAAAGTGCGAGAACTTTTATCAAAATCATAATCAAACCAAAGGTGGGCGGAGGAACAAACTTTATTCTGCCGAGACCTCTACACAGCCAAGCCATGCGGCTTCCCCTAAAAGCCTTCGGCCGCTTCCTGTCTGCCTTTTATCTATTTTTTTTATTGCAGTTCACAAAGCGGCGCGTCATCAGCGCCAGGCCGGCCGGGAGGTGAAATGAGATTATGAAAGCACAGCAATATACCACCTAGGTCAGTGTGTGGGCGTAGGACGGTGCGGATGTTGTGTGCACAAAGTTTTCATTAAAAATTCTCACCACTCCTGCCCCCATGAACCAACACGATATGACAGTCTGAAAATTTAAAAATAAAGATTATTATTTTTTTCATTATATTACTTACGAGATGTTTCAGCGCAGCGGAAAAGCCAATGTTGTGGGTTTGCCTACTCCCTTCACCCCGTCAGGCGACGTCAGAGCTCCTACGGCTCTATCGAGTAGGCAATCACATAACATTGTGTCCGCTGTGAAACACCAGGAGGAAGTTCTACTTTACCTTGGCATTGTCCGATTTTAAATCTCCTTTGGACACCTCTGTCAGATCATCTGTGAAATGCCAATTAGTAGAATGTGGATTAGTGCTATTTTAGCCTATTTTAGTGATTCTAGCTGAACCGTATTCTTCCGTTTTCTTACCCTCGGATGGATTGACCTTTTCGCTGCATTCTTTCAGTGAACCGAGGATGGCATCCTCATCCTCTTCCTCGGTTGCCTGCAAAAAGAAATTTTACTCTACACAATATATAGGAGTGTAACATGACAATGCACATTAAAGAGGTTCATGACAAAATTCACACGCAGAAGGAAGGGCATAGTGTGACAACCCACTGACGCCTATGCCACACAGGAGTGTGCGATCGCACTTGAAATTGGGCTCCTTCTTTCGCGTGACTGCCCTTTGTGGGTTTAGCAGATTTCAAACAACTTTTAAATGAATGACACGCAATTTTATTTGAGAAAGGCGTTTATCCCCAAGAGAAACGAAAAGAGATGCGATTGAGAAGATCAGCTTTCACTGATTACTTTCCAAACGATCTCCAACTGTCCAAAACACGATGCCATTAGTCAACTTCATCAGGAACGAACCGTCAGCAGCTGACCTGACGACGGGAGTGTTTCGCTCCCAACTCACCCAAGCGCAGGCTATGAGGAGGGCGGCCGAGGCCAGGAGGACGCCGAGCGCTGCTGGCGGTGCACGCATGGCGGCGCGACTGGCGCAGGGCAGCGCGAGGCAGAGCGGAGTCCACGGCGTAGCGGACAGGATAGACTCGCGGGGACGGTCTCGCTTTAACCGACGCGAACCGACGCCTCCTCTCAGAGAGGTGGCAGTGCCCCCCCCCCCTCACCCCCCCCTTTTTTGCTTCCATCTCTCTCTTTTGCCTCATCCTTCTGTTCAGTGATCGATTTGCACCATACAAAACGACATCGGATGGAAGGTGTGTGGTACTTTCCTGACTGGCACAGTATTGCAGAAATCGTATATATGTGACAATAGGGCGTCATCAACTTAAGCGAGTGTTGCCCAGGCAGAGATAGAAATCCCAATTACTTCTTCAATAGTACGTACAATAGAACGTATAGTTTCGTTCAATACATACCAATGAAGAAAAATCAAACAGTCAGTAATGTAAAAATGAATTTATCCCTACTACTGGTAAAAAAAAAAAACTGTTGTCAGTATTCATGCTGCATCAAAACCTAACATGAGTCCTGCAAGTATGGCAAAATATCAGTAACAGGATGAAAGTGAATTCAGAACAAACATTTTTGAGGTTCAAAAATACAGTTTTCGACGAAAATTAGAATGTTTATCTGTTGTCCGCCTGCATTCGCTTTAGTTGATGCAGCAAACATTTTCCTAAAACCTTCCGTTGGTCGGTGTACTGTACTCTGCAATAAATTATGACAGGATCGGCCGTAAATTATTTTCCAGCAGATCCCTTACATTGAAACGGCGGTGTCACCGTACAAAGGCACCGAATCTGGTACAGTACGAGACGACCATCCAATTAAAAAAAAAAGAAAAACAGCAACACACGTGACAGTAAGGCCGTGCTTTGAAACCATACGCACACATTTGCATCGCTTTTGTTGCTCCTAAAGGTGAACAGCATTAGCGTAAAACGGTATGTACGACCGTGCCGTAGAGCGACTGAACCCATTTCGGATCAGATTTGCAATTCGCAATTTTTTGAGGTTTGTAGCTCCACCCGTTTTGGAGATATGGCAGTTGGGCCGAAATACGTGTTTTCGATCCAAAATAGGACTTATGAACCTAATTCGGATCAGCAAAAATGTTCACAGCCAAATTGTTAATAGACCTGTTTAAAATCATTCGATACCATGAAAGGATACTCGGCCTGTAGTCGACTCTACCAGCTTATTGTTAGCGATTTAAAAAACAGAAGGAAGTCGGGTTTCTTTCAGCAAAAAAATTTAAGGTACCCAAATTTTAGTTCTCTAATGAAACAACTGACAGTTGATCCGAATTAGAGGCTGATCCGAAACCGGTTCAGTCGCTCTTCATCATACCGTACTGGCCTTAGAATTTCTACAGTGTACACTTTAGTGATATTGAAGAAAATAATTGAACGAAGTCATTGATGTTTTAATACATTTATTGAACATGTATGAAAAAGTGGTATTTGAGGAGGGAAAAAACTGGAGCGTATTTGTCTTGACTTCAGACGTGAGGAGATTGGAAGCCTCTCTGTTAACAAACAAAAATAATAATAATTATATGCGTTCATTCTTGATCGAACCAACCCTCCACCCTCTCCACCCCCACACACACCTTTTCTACCTACAATAAGGTAATAGCGCTTTGTTAAGGCATATCGGTTCTACGACAAACTTCCAGCAAAAACGAAATTTTTATACAAAATTGTCATTTGTTCACGTCAATATGATGTAGTTTTTACGGATAATTGCTTGCTGGGTATGCGGTGCAAGTAAAACAACAAACTACCACCACCATTACAAAGCCGGATCCTTTGGTCAGTCACTAGAAAAGGCAGTACCGTACTTTGTGGGAATTAATACGAGCAGGGTTTTCAGTAAGCTGCTCGCAGGCCTACTGAGCGATGGGTTGCCGAGCCCGCGGGCGGCGTGCGGTAGTGCGGAGCGGCGAGATCAAGCCGTGAGAGCTCTGATCACTAAAAGCTTCAATGCGCCTACAGTAGTCAGGGAGTGAGAGGACACAAGGTTGTGCGAATCAACAACATAACATCAAGCTCTGTTTAGCTATGTCCAATCCATTCGTATTGTCCATATCAGCTCATTACCTCGCACTGTGTCGTTCTCAGTGATTTGCAGATCCAGCAATTTTCTGTGGTGAAATAGACGAATCATGACAAGATGGTTTAGTCGGGTCGCTGTCCATAGTCAGGGCCAAGAAATTGGATGTACTTTTTTCTTGGCGGTATTCGAGGATCGGCATGAGAGAGAGAAAGAGAGAGAAAGAGAGAGAGAGAGAGAGAGAGAGAGAGAGAGAGAGAGAGAGAGGGAGTAAGGGGGGGGGGCGTAGGCATTAATATCTAGGATGCTTTCTCTTAACCGTGTTCAGAAGTAAAACAATGCGGGAGAAAAAAAGATTTCTTTTGAAAACAATATTGTTGTGTCAAATGTATATTTGACTGGGAAAGCATAAACGGTAAATATTGCCTTCTTCTGAATATTCCTGCGGGAGAAACGCACCCTGCCGCGAAGTCCAGCATATATCATGAAGACTGGCTGATGTCTTGATTTGGAACGGTTGCCATCGCTTTTCGGTACTAAAAACCACATAACAGGCGTTGAATGACTAAGTGTAATTACAAATAATGAGAACACTCGAAATGATCGTTGGCAATATTGTAACCATTGAATGCCACTGCAAACCCAACAACGTACACAAAAGAGAGTCAAATTGCATGCACGCACCTACAAGTGTGCACTAGTAGGACGAATGCACTGTTATTCAACGAATGTGACGTCACATTCGTTTTAATGTGAATCGTGTCACATTCGTTTGAATGTTGTCATATTCGTTTAAACGTGAATCGGCCAAGCCTGGCGCCATTAGAGCATCAATTCACCT